TATTTTTTTTTATATATATATTTTTATATATATAAAAAAAATATAAAAATAATATTTTTTTTTTTTTGTGCAGCTCTCAGGGCGGCATGTGGGATAAGAACTATCTAGAGACACTGAATATTAGATGGTCACTTCCAGTTAACCAAATGCTGCTTTGCTTCTTGTTTGCAGGTACGAACACTGTTTGTCAGTGGCCTTCCAGTCGATATCAAACCCCGGGAACTTTACCTTCTCTTCAGACCTTTTAAGGTAAGTTACAACATGATGTATTCCTAAGGAGGGTCTTGGGCTTTTGAGGTATATAAATGGATTAGACTAGACTTCCTACCCTCCTTAGATATAAAGCTGCTGCTGGGTGCCAGGTGCTGAAAATGAGTCATGAAAAGTGTTTCTGAAATGAATATCTGCACACAGAGGACAACTTTTTTAAAACATTTTATTAAAGTATTGAGGAAGCAACTGCAATCCAGTGTACAGGTAGTCTTTTTAACCCCCTTTTTATGATGCAGTAATATTACTGCCTGTAGCATTTGATGCTTCAGCTCACACAGAAAGTTTTATCTGTGCTCCTTTTTTTTTGTTTGTCATTTAATCAAACAATCCCCCTGTTAATGGAAGTCCAGATATTTGCATATATGGAAATGAGGCCACATCATTGTTTGTCCATTGCTGTTTTTTGACTGGACTCCGGTTCCATAAACACCCCTCCCACCCGTGTCCTAACTAACCAAATTGGAAGTGGTATCCCTCGCACATGGATGATCTCATGGAATGTGTAAATGAGTAGCCCTCGCGATTGGCCAACGAACCCTCTCCGTGACCCAGCTCGCCCACCGTGTAGGGAAATTTTTATTTCCCCTCGTAACATTCATGGATTATGAAACCACTGAAATGTTTTGTTTTCATAATTCACTGTTAACACTTTTTGTCTTTTTTTTGCCCCATCAGTAGGCAAACACAGCCCACTGTGGAAATATGGTTAAATCTGATTCCTTGAACGTTTACATTCAAATTAACCATTTTTTATTTAGAGAAACCTTTTTTTAAAATGGACTGTTCTACTTTTGTTTTTCAACTCTGTACTACTGAAGCTAAACCTGGTTTGGATTGTTGCTAAGGATTTATCACAGCCAGTGAAAGTTGCTTAATTTTCCATAGTTGTAAATCAGGATCAGGAGAGATCCCATCTATCAATACTATGGTCAGGCAAAATTCCCCTTCGTTTCGCAGGAATTTGCTCCTGCTTTAACCAACCCTTGTGCTGTTTTTAACTTGGTTTAAAATCAGTGGCTTTATTTGGAAATCATGCTCAATCTGTTTTTAAAACAAAAGAGAAAAGCTTCACATATCTGATAACATGTGCTTTCTCCCTTTTTAAACTAAACATGATCTTCATTTTAGCATTGAGGATAAAATCATCTTTATTGAAAGCTGCATTTGTTGGAAATGTGCATGTTTTGCCTTATTTTACCATAACAAATGCAATACTGCCACTAAAGGATCCGTGGTGGCCTGCTCTCAAGCTCAAAGTGAAGGTGCACACAAGCAGGTTACTCCTGATATAGCGAGAAGTGTTCATGCCTGACTTGCTGCATGTGACTCCTGGGTGGATAATTGGCTATCTTTCTTCCCTGCAGGGTTATGAAGGGTCACTGATTAAGTTAACATCAAAACAGGTGAGATGCCTTCCATCAGTGGTAGGAACTGCTTTTAATTCTATACTAAAATACTAAACAAATGGCGAGGCAGTGTTGGCTCTCTGTAATTTCAACATTGGTTCAAAATAAAAATAAAAATGTGTTCTTTTCTTGCTGATTTCCTACAGCATGAATATTATGATTTTAAGATAATCACTGATATTTAACAAAAATGCAGCCTCTTCTTGCATGTTAACATGATCCTCCTGTTGGTCTCGATTGTCACAGTGTGTTTCTTCCCTTTTTACCTTCCAGCCTGTCGGGTTTGTAACCTTTGACAGTCGCTCTGGAGCTGAAGCTGCAAAAAATGCACTAAATGTAAGCATAGTTTTATTTATTTCCCCTGTTTGATTTTCCCCTTTTTTTAAAAAAAAAAATGTTTCTTTGTATTTCTTAGATTTGTTATAACCTTGCTTAAACCTAGAAAAAAGTAAGTGATTGGGAGTCTGAAAAATTCTTCTTTCCCATTTAAAATTTCTCAAAGCCAACCCATTTTGTCTTTTATAATTCAATGGCAGGGCCATTTTTGGAAAGAGGCCAGAATCCCGTAGCCTTACGGTAGTTTACTTTGACCTTGATACACACCCCTTCTTAGTCTGGTATAGCTTTCCTTATTTTGCATATCACTGCTTTACTGTAATACTTGTTCTATAGCCACATTTTGTAGTGTTATTTGGACACATCTTCAGTAGTGTAACCTCCTTATTTTGTCACCCAGTAGCCCACATTGGCAGTATCTAACACTTCTCTCTCATAGCCTAGCCTTCCTTATGAGCATCACCTCTTAGATACACCAGCAGTCACACACACAGACACACACATACACCAAAATACTACTCACCTGCATGTGGGCACAACGCTTAGGGCACAAGAACACAAGCAGGGTTATTCCACCTAAAAGGAATTACACTCAAAGTCTCCATCGGCCCTTTTCCTCGTCTCTCCTCCTGGCTCGTGCGATGGGGTGAACTCCTCCTCCAGTTGCCTGTGCTCTTGATTTTGTCATGAGGAAAAAGAGATGCAAGCATGTTGAAATATTTCAGGAGTGTATCCTTCAGTCTGCCCCTTTTTCAAGGTCTTGAAGACCTTTTTTTTTTTTTTTACGAGCAGCTTTAGTTCAGTGAAAGCAGTCAGGTGGAGGAGGGTGTTTTAACATCCCACAGGAGGACAAGGACAGTGTTTGGCTCAGGGAAAGCTTGAAGGATACATCCTGAGTATTGAAGCATGGCTTTAGGAAAGGAGGCCATGTGAGACTACTGAGCTACAGCCCCTCAAACTCAGCCCACCTCCCTTACGATACTATGTCCCCCTCCTCCCCTCCTCCATCT